TTAGCCATATAATACGCAATGCCAAAAGTTGGTCGAATCGATTCAAAATTCACAGTGCCTTTTTCGCATCTCGACCATTTATAAACCGAATTGCAAACTTTTTTACTTATAAAAGTATTTGAATGAAATTTGATACATAAGCACTTCGAATAAAGGAAAATCAAACGCCAATTTCAAAATTTGGTTTTGCGCATGCGCAGTGCCAACTTTTTTATTTATGGAAGAATTTAAACGAAATTTGATACATAGGCACTTGGATAAAGGAAAATCAAACGCCAATTTCAAAATTTGGTTTTGCGCATGCGCAGTGGAACTTTTTAATTTATGGAAGAATTTAAATGAAATGTGATACATAGGCACTTGGAATAAAGGAAAATCCGCCTTTCAAAATTTTGTTTTGCGCATGCGCCGTGCCAACTTTTTTATCTATGGAACTATTTAAGTGAAATTTGATACTTAGGCGCTTGGAACAAAGAAAAATCTTAGTTTATTAGTTAGTTATAGTAAATTAGTTTTAAAATTTAGGTTTGCGCATGCGCAGTTCCAACTTTCTTATTTAGAAAAGCATTGAAATGAAATTCTTCTCATAAACTAAAATTGAAGTAGCACGTCAACAATGGATTGCCCATGTGCAACGCTATCTTTCATATTTGTGGCCGGATTTTTACGATTTTAACAGAAGTTGCATCTTACAAATGGGAAATGAATGCAAGTGGAAATGCGCTTTATGTAAATCGTTTACGATTACTTTTTAACTTGTTACCCTCGTTTTTACTCCGACCAGGCTCCGTCTTTCTACCCCACTCTTTGAAATAAGTGATCCAAAGTGACAGACATTTGCGAATAAAATTAAAATCTGAAGCGAAATTTAGTAATGGAAATAATTACACTCTTGGGAAATTCAAAATAAAATCACGTGTACGACGTCTAAAACCAATGTGAATGGTTACAATAGTTTAAATTAAAAGTAAACAAATACGACAAATAAAGCACCAATTGAACCGTTTCCTAACTTAACTTATTTTTACATTGCATAACAGTAATCCCTATCCCCTATCAAATAATAAAAATTCACTCAGAAATTCACTCTACTTTACCACAACACAAAAAGGAAAATCGTCTAGTTCATACTCTCATAATATTCACGTGTTTGTAATTTTATTATATGGGGAGAAAATGGTCAATTCCACAGAGAAAATTTCATTCCTTTAATTCTGAGGGCATTAATCACTTTAATTATTAATAATATCAGGTTCACTCACAGTTTGATATGCGTAGTTCGTGAAAATTCAATCAAGGCTGTTTGAATTTATTTACCACTCGGTGTATAAGATGGAAGGAAACCACATGCTTGGGAACATGTTGAATGCAGGTAACTGCTTGCACGAAAGAAAAACTCGTTGATTGCCAAAAAGTCTGTGTAAAGTATTGGAATCTCTTCAAATGTGTTTACTTCCAAGGATTTTTTGTTTATCTTAAATACGTCTTTAGGTATCAGCTGAGAAGGCTCGCAAGTATATTTTTTATTTAGAAGACAACCACGTTAAATTCCCATGTCAGGTTTCTCGAAATATCTAGGCTTATTGCGGTTCGTGTCTCAAGTTGCACTTAAAACACTCGATCCCCCTAACTTGCTTTCTCCATAAAAATAAGAGACGTGTTCAGGAAAACTATATAGTACCACATAAGAAAAGACTACTGTAAAACTGAGAAAATTAGTTTGCTTTGTTGAGTATTCAATTCAAAAGCCTGCAGGTGTGCACTATTCTATGAAAACAAGTAAAAAGGTATTCGTGATGACGAATAACTTTAGCGCATTTTCCATGCATTTATCAGTGCTTCCCAAAAAGCTATGAATATGTTGTTTTTTCTTAAAAGAATCTGTGGTTGTAGTTAATCTGTGCTCAGTGCTATGGTTAAAATTTCAATAAATAAGAAAGTTGGCATTACGCAATCGCAAGTATTCTCGCATCTTATTTTTACACTATTTGGTGTGTTTCCTTTTAATAGAAGCATCTGCGGTTAAAATTTACAAACGAGAAGCATCTATGGTTAAAATAAATAAAAATAAATAAATAAATAGTTGGTCCTAACCTAGCAAACACACTTTACGTTTACAATCGGTTTTAAAGCGCTTTGAAATGATAAATTCGGTATTGGCAGTATGGTATATGATTTTGTGTACACCGATTTTATACCTACGTTTAAAATACGATTTTTATTCATGTATATATAAACCACAGAGTTCACTTTCTACGTTGGTAATACGTATATAAAATAATAATCGTCTTTTAGCATTCGTCTTATAAACGTATATAACACCACTTTAATATACACATATAAATCGTATATCAATGGGAAATAAATAAACGAATAAGATCCCTACAAAATACAGCAACATCCGCCGGTTCCAGTCTACAATAAACGCTTTTTGTACGGAACTGTGCTGCTAGGGAAGCTTCAAAAGGATTTTGTGCAATTATTGCTACAGTTTCTCATTCATTTCGATGATCGCAAGGATCAATTCGTCATTCGTCATTACTTATGGTGCATCTTCTGCCCCTTACCTGGCTAGTCGTATACTCTCTTGGAATTAGCCGAGATTGGTGCAGACAGCTTCCTCTTGCAGCCAATGCAATTCGCAATAACCTTTATAGATGATTTAATTTGCGGAAATTCATCTGTTGAAGAATCTAGAAAATTTGTTGCTCAGTTTAGTAGGTTTGTTTGCCTTAGGCTGTTTCGAGCTTCGCAAATGGGCATCCAACTGCCTGGATCATCTGGATTCCAGTGAAATTCAGACAGGTTGAAGCCCGTTCGTTTGATACGAATCGTCCAGTACGAGTAAGATTCTTGGCCTTCAGTGACATTCGTCCTTCGATACTTTCGCTTTCATTGTGTCCTCATGAGATGCCTTGTTCGAAACTTTCCATCTTATCTATGACCCTCTTGGGTTAGTTTTTTAGCTACATGGCTCATTTAGAAATTTTGGTTCTTAGGTCTGGGTTGCGATGTTCAACCGGCTCACGGCGGCCATGGAGTCGTAATTTGTTTCCTCGTTATTTCTCCTTGTTTGCATTACATGGTCAAACAGATATCGATACCTCGTCTGGAACTTTGTGCGGCTGCGTTATTGGTAAAGTTAATCGAATTCGTTTTAGAATCACTTAGTGACCTGGTTGTCGTAGATGATGCTCGACCATCGTCCTCACGTGGATCATTACCGCGGCAACGGAAGGTCTTCGTTAATCGTTAGCAATAGGATAGCTTATATGTATATGAGCTTTGGTGATCTGGATCTGCTTTCTTGAATTTATCTCATAGTTCGTGACCTTTTGAGCCAATCAATAATTGTTGTTTGTTTTATTTGGAAATGAATCCCACGTCCGTCGTTACCGTCACTCATACTACCAATCTAGTCAATCCAGAGCACTTTGTTTACTTGATACAACAGCTTTTTTATATTATCGGCTCGACGTTAATCCCACCGCTTATTCTCCTCCTACAGGAAACTTGCCATCCCTACGAATAAGTAAAATAAAACCTTTTAGTGTTGTTGGTTGTAACTTTGCTGGACCTATTAACATCTCCGCAGCTAGAATCCGTAGAGCCAAATTGGTCAAGGTTTATATTTTATCTTTTCGTTTGTTTCTCCACATAGGCGATCCATCTATAAATGGAGTCTTCCCTATTTACAGACGCTTTTATTGTTGCGCTTTGGCGTCTTTTGCCCGCCGAGAACGGTGCATTCAAATATTTAGTGACTGTAGGACTAATTTCATCGGTGCTCACAGAGAATTTAATCAATTAATGAAACCCCCGGTCGAATCGTCACAAGTAATTTAATCGTCATTTTAATCCTCCTGCTGGTCCACGTTTCAATGGACTCTGGGAAAGCCGTGTTAAATGGGTCAAAAATCAGATTACTACTGTTATCACGGAAATAGGAGTCACGGCCACGGGTCATTTTTACCACCCGCACGTTAGTAAGGGAGGTATTGCATTGGGCTAAAAAATGACCCCCCACTTTTTTTTTATGAAAATACACGTTTTGAAGCACCAGGAATCCAAATCAAACAAATTCTCGATAATGTCGGTCTATCGGTCCGTCTGTACTCTCATTTCCGGTTAAACAGCTGACCAAATTTGGTACATATATTCTCAGACTGAAAACTTTTGGGCAGAATCGCGCTTGCGCAAGTGTGTCATGGCCGTTTGCACCCACAAATTTGAGTGGAGCTTAGCTTAAGCGTAGCTTAAAATCGATGGCAACGATTATTGAGACAATGGTTGCCATGGATTTTAAGCTAAGTTCTGCTTAAATGTGTCGGTGCAAACGTCCATAAGACTCTTATTTCCGGGTAAACGGCTGCACCGATTGGAACCAAATTTGGTACACATATTCTTAGACATAAAAGGCCATAATCGCGCATGCGCATGTGTGCGGGTGGTATCTGTGCTATCCACAGCAAATTTTTTAATATTAGAAAACCATAATCGGCACCATCGGATCCAGATTTATCACATTTTAGTCTACACGGTATTTTAGTTGGCGTTTCAGAGTCATTTCAAAAAGGCGACTATTAAACGAAGGCGTGTCAAATCGATGATAAAACAATGTATATACTTGTGTCGTGTGAAAAATTAATTCATTTATTAGAAAACGATATGAACCGACAAACGCGAGTTTGGATACGAAATTGGTTAGTTCGCAAGAATACTCATGGGTTTTCCTGTCTGCTTTTGAAAGAACTGGCAAATGAAGGCTTGGAGGAGTCCGAAACTGTATGAGGATGACGAGAGGCCGATTTGATGGACTACTGCAGAATGTCGCTTCTCTTATAACAAAATGATAATTGACTAAACTGAACTGACCTCTCATACACTTGCTTAGTTGGCGTTTTAGTTGCTAAAAAGCAAGTGTGGGAGATGCAACTTGCTCAATTAAGTAAATAGAAACTGTTTCTATTCACTTGACTAAACCGTTTACTAAATTAGGTTTATGTCTGCAAACAAGCACCCGTCGCGTCGTTTTGTGGTCCGAATCCGATAACATACTTCAGCAGGATTGTACAGCGTAGAAGGATTATCTACATTAAAATTATTTGTTTAGTCGACCGATTGACTTACCAAACCAAACTCGAATGATTCCGCCGATTCCATTTTTCACTCGTTCAGTTGTAAGATTCGATCGGTTAAGTTTAAAGTGGTCGGGTAAAAAAATAATTATAGTGGTACGAGTAGGTACTTCTACCATTGAGTGAATTACCTACTCATTGCTTCTACGCTATTGAAGAGATATGGATGTGGACAGTACATGTGTATAAATTATGACTAATTGCTTACATGGTATTGGTATCTAGAACGATCACATCTCAAAATAATTGGATTAACGTAATTTAGTGCTTCATTTCTCGTTCGGTATGATTATAATCCACCATAATGGCTTCAATTAAGAGGTATCTACATTTAAACAATAGATACTATTAATAGACGCGATCAGTACAAACCTTTCCATAATATGAATACATTCTGTTTATCTACATATAGCCATGGAGTAAACAACTTAAATTACTCTGTGCTATAACATAATTTTAGTAATTGATCCTAACGTGTACCAATTAAGGCCGTTGATCTGACAAACCGCTTAATGAATAGAGTCCAACTTAATATTTCGCCCTTATGGAGACCAAAAACGCAAGGGATAGAAAACAAGGTGAATAAACTGAACTTCAGCAAGTGCTCACGTTGGCTTGTTTCTATTAGAAACATGATTCATTTTCGGGAAACGTGTCAGTTGTTTTGATATGTCTTGCTATAATAACCTACTTAGCCCCTAACTACCACGTGCATAAGATTTTTATGCTTTTATACTTACATATTGCGAATTGTCGAAGTCCAAACGGAGTGTTATTACATACAATGATCGATTGTTAGCGTTAGATAATCTCGTCTCCAGAACCGTCGTCGTCACATCTAAATGGAAGTATTCCATTGCTACTTGTTGCAATTGACCTAAGAAAGAAAGACGCGTTATTTGCAAAAATTCACATTTTAAGTTCAAGTCTAACAAATTGTCGATAGTTAATATTCTTCGTAAAAGGGATGTACTTCAAAAATCGGTCTTATTGTTTTCCTTTAGATAGAAGGCACATTTTCTTATCTAGATCAAATCAATTAGTAATCAATTGTATGTTTGTGTATATTTTCCATCAAAAAGAATAGTTTCCTCAAAGGTCTTCGTGAAAATTATCAATTTTTTAGAGAGGAAACCGAAAGTAAAAGATAAGTGTGACTCATTGGTTAACAAATGGGACACACACATTTTCTTTTCATTTATTCGAGTAATATAAACATAGGAAAATGTTACACAACAGCATTAAACCGATAAAAATAATCTATTTTAGCGTTTAAATTTATTTTATTCATAACAATATTAGAAAACGGTTTTGACCTTCTCGGCCTACCCTCCCAAGGAACCTCTATCAGCAATGGGGTAACCGCGCAATCCCCTATTCCCTTTCAAGGAAATTTGTCTGATAGGTATTTTCGCACGATTCGGGCGCATTGCGCGGGTGCACTTATCCTGTTGAAACCAACAGTTTCCAACTTTTGTTTTTTGTGGTGTGCCGTACGTACATCGTCATATTCGTAATAAAAAATGCTCCTCAATTAAGTATGTCAAATCGTTAATTTATCCACACGCAGATTACTGTTCTGCAGTCTACTTTAATTTTCTACCGGACTACAATAAAGCACAGTTGCAGAAACTACAAAATTCTTGCTGACGATATGTTCCTCTATACAAAATTAGGCATTACCAAGCTGAAAATATTCAATTATTGAGTTTGATCAATGATCTTTGGTTTGATGAATTACGTTGCTGCTCAAATTAATAAGGAAATCCCTCAATTTGAGGTAAGTTAATGTGTTTATCAACCATTTCCTTTGCTAATATCGCAAACCGCCACCGTTTGGCTCTATCATAGATTTATTTACAAAATCGAAACGATCTACCTGTAACTTAATTTTAAAAGTCATTTTGGGCAACGAAGCTCTAGGGATAGAATGTATTTAATGCCGAAAAATCTCCGGCTCCCGTTGGTTGTCTGTTTCATCAACAACTTGTTGATTCCATGACATGACACAGGCCGCTGCCTTCTGCTCGTCTACAGTACTTGAGTCTTCGGACTATGACAACTGCTGGCTGCGACGTTCTTCCTCCTCTTCGAGGATTCTTGCTTCTTCTAAGTATGTAGTTGAAGATGTAGTTCAATGCGCTCGCTTTTGCAATGCGCACTCTCTCGTAAGTACTTGTTCTTCTACAGCATCCTGGCTCTCATTTGAGCGGGATCTTATTGCGAAAGGACAGGACAGGATGCTATTCGTTCTGCAAAACAGACACCTGCTGCTTCTACTTCAAGCTCTGTGGAGAATGAAGGGAAAACTGAAATAGAAGATGTGATGGAAGCGTAGGCGATTGAAGACCAGATCCAGAAGGACACCAAAGATACGTCTTACACTATATTTGCAAGCAAATCTTAGCAGTAGCATAAATTGAGTTCGCAAATGCGTTTAAAAGTAAATTGTCATTCAGAGATGTGGTGTATCCAACAGAGCCACAACTACTATTGCGATAAGTGTTATGGAAGATTTGGGATTAATCTCGGAATTAGATACCAGTCCCGTCTAAATTTACACTTTACTAACCGAAGTGGTTGCGTTTCTGACTGCTATTCGGGAGGTTGTGGGTTCGAATCCCGCTCCCGACTGCACTGTCTGGGGTTTTCCTCTGGACGTACGTAGCTTCGCATGTTGAAATCTACGAGGCGAATGCTGAAGCAGTACTTTTCCGCACCCTAACTCCGTTCCTTCCGTTCCTATCCTTAACTTTATCCATCCTTACATTCTCGTTCTCTGACTGAAGAGGGCCTGGGAACCCTGAGCAATCCTCATCCGATATCCCTCGGGGTGTCGGAGGAATGAAACACGTTGACCATTACCTTTTCCACTTTACAATCGAGAATCAGAGATCAACAGAGCCTACACGGTGCCTTAGTGTGTCAGTTTTGAAATCAATGATAAGGATTAATGGGTATCACTTGTCCTTGGGCTTTTATTGATGGTAATAAATTTTTCCATTATTGAACATTCGTGTACCTACTAATAGATTCACGTAATGAATAACTTTTTAAGAACAAGAAATAATGTTATAAAACACGCGATTATAAACCCTTCTAGACACAAGTAACAAATTTTCATTTTGAAAAGGGAGTTTTTTAGCATAAACGTTCGTCTCTAGCTTAAATCCCAACATTTTAAATGTGTGAAAACTTGTCTGTGTGGGGGAAAACTCAGTAATTTTTTTGCGGATGTGCGTAATTAACGGTAATAAGTACAAAATATTAACTTATTTAGAAAAGTCTGTGGAGTGTTGGAAGGCATTTTAATCTCGTGGTGTTATAAATGTAGCACGCGTTTGAGATTAAAGGAAGAGTTTTTCTCTTACACCCGACGTACTTTTCTTTAGGTATGCTGATGTATTGGCAACAATATGCCCTAACCAGTAAGAAGGGAGTTATAGTTGGCGTTCAGGTACTTAACTGTATATCTGTATCATTGAATAAGTCGCTGAAGTTAGCTTGGGATTAGGATTCGGATTCGCTAATATTACAGTTGACCAGCTAAGTTACACCAACTTATGAATTTATCAAAAAAAAGGGTAACTACTATAATAAGTCTACCTACATAACTTCGTTATTACTTTGTAATAACTGTAGTAACAGGCACCAAAAACTCATAATAAACATAACTATTTACTTATGCAAAGAGACACTTTACAAGTGCTGATGTTATGGGACGAACCTACCCTTGAACGATAGGGTAGAATTACGACTTCTGCAATTAAGTTTGTAAGAAGCTGGAACAACTTTAATAAAATCATGATAAAAATAAGAAACACTTCTGCCAAGATAGATATTTCAGATTCAGAGGCTAAAGGGACGAATCTACCCGTCAAAGATAGGGGTAAAATTATAACTTCTACAGTTATGTTTGTAACAGACTGGAACAACTTTCATCAAATAATGTTAAAAATGAGAGACACTTATGCCAAGATAGATATTTCAGATTCAGAGGCTAAAGGGACGAATCTACCCGTCAAAGATAGGGGTAAAATTATAACTTCTACAGTTATGTTTGTAACAGACTGGAACAACTTTCATCAAATAATGTTAAAAATGAGAAACACTTATGCCATGATAGATATTTCAGACGCAGAGGCTAAAGGGATGAATCTACCCTCCAAAAATAGGGGTAAAATTATAATTTCTACAATTATGTTCCAGCCTGTTACAAACATAATTGTAGAAGTTATAATTTTACCCCTATCTTTGGAGGGTAGATTCGTCGAATTTTACCTAAGGCCTGACGATGATAGTATATAGAAATTGATCGCCTAAAAAACCTAATAAATTTTACTTGAGTATCTGAAATTCTTTACTACGTTATAATTTTACCCCTACCTTTGGAGGGTAGATTCGTCCCTTTAGCCTCTAAATCTAAAGAATCTAAAATATCTATCTTGGCAGAAGTGTTTTTTATTGTTATTACGATCTTATTAAAATGTTGTTCCAGCCTCTTACAAACTTAATTGCAGAAGTCGTAATTCTACTCTATCGTTTAAGAGTAGGTTCGTACCATAACATCGGCACCTTGTAAAGCGTCTCTTTGTATAAGTAGTTATGTTTATTATGAGTTTTTGGTGCCTGTTACAGCTACAGTTATTGCAAAGTAATAACGAAGTTATGAAGGTATACTTATTATAGTAGTTACTATAAGGGGTAGTTTGATAATTTATGTTCTTGTAAGGTTTTTAAATGCTTTCGTAGTTAATTTATATTGTTTTCATTACGCTCCCAAACTAACTTCAGCGACATTCATTGAATGAGTGTTTTTCTTCAATGACTGTATATAGGTACATAGGTTTGTGTGCTATATTATGTAAATTTCTAACAAAGTTTTTGCTTCTTAATAAAATAAATTACTTGTGTCATAAAATATGATTGCAAATGTGTTATAAATCAAAGAGAAGGTAGTTTGCTCTGAAAAAAATAAGGTAAAAAGGTGAAAAGGGGTAGGTAATCTAAATAAAGTATTTAGATGGAGTTGACTAGATATGGCGTTTAATCGAATTAGGGCGAAAGGCGTACGTGCCAAAAGCGTACAAAGATTATTTAGTGCTATTGACGTACAAGGTAGGGTTGGTTAAATTCCAGAGACTGACAAAATTAAGACGTGCGGTTTGCGTACAGGTCATTAACGAAGCAATTACATTAGGAAGTAAAAATGCAAATTCGTAATAAACAACTGTCTAAACTCATTATAAAACTAAAGTATAATATACAGGATCTTTCTTGTTATACGAGAAATATAAAAATTTACACACTGTTTATAAACCATGAACCACTTTTTAAAATGGTAGCAGTTTTCTATTACTTCCGGTTATACAGGAAATAGTTACCAACTTCCTTATTTTCAATGGAAACTACCATTTTTTATTTCACATTAAGATTCCTTTACCTTCGATCCTTAACAGTTTTGGAGATATTTACATTTTAAGAAAAAAAATCAAAAATCATTTTTGGCGCTTTTGACATGTATAGGTACGCATACAGCACGACACCGTTTAATCGGTACTTATCACCAATAAAATAAAGTAGTCGTGCCTTTATTAATTTTAAATCAAACCGATAATGTAGATGCCTTTCTCTATACTTATTGCCAGTTACCATAGTGTAAGCTTACACCGAGGCTTACACTATGCCGGTACCGGAGCCGGTACCTATCGATTTAAAAGGCGAAGTTGACCTGAGTATGGCGGTGGCGTGTTTGTTGACTCTGTCAAACGGGCCGATATTGAATGGTAGAATTTTAGATTGGCAGAAGAGGCTTCGCATCAAATGGGGTGTCGATTTACAAACATAAAACGAGTAGGGAAAATTGTTGTTTTTGAA